ACATTATTTACATGCATAAGTTGGAAGCACATTTTGTCGGTTCTTGTTCCCAAGAAAAATGAACATAGGCAACCTAAAAAGAGAAGAGGCAGGAATTTTGGGTATACATAGAGAGTATATATAGAGAGCATATAGATATAGTGAAAATCCATTGCAAAAACCAGTCTATAGATGGCTTGAGGCAAGCAACACCATATAATAGCATCACTTCAAGAACTGCTTTTGAAGTTAATAGGGAATTTTGGGGATACAGTTTCATGTGCAGGAGGGTAGTAAAACACTGGAACAAGTTCCCCAGAGAGGTGGTGAAATCTCCATCCTTGGAGGTTTTCAAAACTCAGTTAGACAAAGCTTTAGCTGGGATGATCTAGTTGGGGATGGCCCTGCTTTGAGCAGGAGATTGGACTAGATGACCTCTTGAGGTCCCTTTCATCCCTAATTGTGTATGATTCTATGACAATGGCATTAATTTGAGATGCTGGTCTGCTTTCACTGTGAAAAGCCCTGGAGGTTTCAAACCAGGTTCAAGTGTTGCTCAAACTTCAAGGGCCATGCTTTGGAGGCCAGTGAGACAGATAGGAAGTATTGGCCTGTGGCAGAACTCCTTTGTGGAACTGAGAGTTTATGACAATGCATAGCAAGTTCCTTGGAAATACTGAGGCTTTGTCTCCTACAGCATGGTAGCCATGGCCATCTTTTTGCCCCTTCTATTTACCTGTGTGCCTGTGGCTATGTTGAAGCTCCTATGATGAGTTAATTCTTGTTTATGGGCAAGTGATTTAATACAGGGGATTAGGAATAGAGCATCTTCATGTGGGGAACATGGTTCTCCTTTATCCCCTTCTCTGCTCAAAATAGACTTGATTAGCTACAAATATATGCATGTGTGTGTGTGTGTGTATATGACTTTGGCTAAGTGCAGACATTCGGGGAGGTTAGGGGAAGGTTAGATTGGGTAAAAATGACTACCGAATCTAACTTAGTTCACCCAGGTGTGGACTTTATACTTAGACCCAGTCTCAGTGATCAGAAGTCATTTAAATCCATAATATTACAGAAATTCTGTGCACACAAAACAATCTAAAATGGCAGAACCTTGTCTAACAGGACCTGGATCGATATACACTCAAACTTAGTTGATCTAGGCTAGACTGGTGCATGGAACTTCAGTACAGTTACCTGCACAGCCCTGGAGCTGGGAAAGCCCAGCCACTGACCTCTGCTCCGGGGGTGCATTTTTCATACCTGACCCCTAGCACTGGCCTATTTTTAGCTCCCCCCATCCCCATGGACCAGCCATCCTCCCTCCAACTTCCCATCCAGCAAACTACTCTGGGTGCCAGATTTTTCTGTGTTCTCTGCTACCAGGAGCTGAAGAAGTAAGTATTGCTGGGAGGAATGGAGGAAGGGCTGGGGGTGTAGATATTCTTTGGAGGGTCAGGGGGGCTAAAAATAACCTCTGGTCCTCCCACAAGCCTCCCTGCAGACCCCAAAAGCTGCCCTGATCCCACCTAATCTTTCTGGACCCCACCAGCCCCCCACGGATCCTGCCCCCCATGTGTCCTGCAGATGCCGCCTGCCCTCTTCACTCCAGTCCCCAATTGCTCCCACGGATGCTGCCTATCATCGCTCCCCCCCGCACCTCAGATTGCTCCTGTTGACACTGTCTGACCTCTGCAGATCCTACCTGCCTCTTCATCCCTCCCGTGGTCCCCGATCCCCACCCCCAAGCCTGATTTCCCCCATTTTTAACATGATATAACCTCCTAACTTCCCTGAATGTGGCTTTTGAAGGACTACTAGATGCTTGGGTGACTGTACCCATTCCATCGTAGCAGTTGGCATAGAATAGGTACAGTGTGCCTGCCCCTAGGGGTGTGCGGGGCCTGGGGCATATCAGCCTGTGTGGGGGAGGGGAGGGGAGGGCAAGCAGCTGGAGCACAAAGCCAGCAGCACGCAGCGACCCCACAGAGTGGTGGCACCCTTGGGGCCTGTCTGCCGGGCCCGGGGCAGTTGCCCCAAATGAGCCCCTCCCCCCCCCCCCCCAAGGGATAACCCCGGGACAAGTCCCCCAACCCCAACCCCGG